CGCATAACTGCATATTTCGTGCCACCCAGTCCCGCCCAACTATAATCAATCACACTCAATTAACCTCGACCTCACGCCACCCTACACCACCACCCCACTACAGCCGCCCACCCTGCGCCTTCTACACTCACACTTACAGTACTCGTACATCTTTGACACTACTACCAACTACCAGCTTCTTGGCTGTCTAATCTCCATCCCTACCCTTCAAACATATCTGTATATTTCGTGCCACACACACCATCGAACTGCCCACTGTATTTATCCCCTCCCTTTTCGCAGCCACAGCAGCCATAGACGCCACATCGCGCCCTCAGGCTCACACCAATCAACGCTCCACAACTTGGGCTATCCAATGAGCCGCCTGGGAACCACCTTTCATTCATCCTGCCTCTCCTCATGCCCAGATTACCGGGTACACCTCACCGCTACTTCTTGATCGCCTTTTTCCGTTCATCTCTGCCTAAACCACGCATCGTTCTCCCCCTCCCTCCAGCCCATCGCCACACTCGATCCTCCCCCGTCCCCGTCCCCATTCCCCCCTCTCTCCCTTCCAAACCCTCCCCCATCTCTCTCTTCCCCCCTCCTCTTCTTCGCCCTCACTCCCTTCCTCCCCTCCCTTCTCGACCGATCCATCGCCACTCGACTCAAACGCGAACCTCGCCATGGCCACGCACACGGCCAGCTACCACGAGCTGAGCAGAGAAAGTGCAGGATCGATACGAGAGAGCTTGCTCAAGTGGTACACGCTCAACCGACGGGAGCTGCCGTGGCGGGCACCGTTCTGGAGCGCGCCAGAGGGCACCCGGGCAGACGACGTGGCTGACGTCTTCGCCTATCATGTCTGGATCTCAGAGGTCATGCTCCAGCAGACGCAGGTGGCCACCGTCATTGCCTACTTTAACAAGTTTGTATCGACTTGGCCAACCCTTGCCGATCTGGCAGCCGCACAGCTGGATGACGTCCTTGCTGCCTGGGCAGGCCTTGGATACTATCGCCGCGCTCGGCTGCTGCACAAGGGCGCCCAGGCTGTCATGGGTCCCGAGTTTGGCGGCGTCCTGCCGAGGGATCCTGTGCAGCTGAAGAAGATCCCGGGCATCGGGCCGTACACCGCAGGCGCCATTTCCTCTATTGCCTTTGGCTGTCCGGCGCCCATCGTCGACGGCAACGTGGTCCGGGTCGTCGCCCGGCTCCGCGCCCTCGGCGCCATGCCGTCGTCGCCGATCTTCTGGGAGTATGCGACCGCGCTGGTCGATCCGCACCGCCCCGGTGATCTCAACCAAGCGCTGATGGAGTTGGGTGCGACCGTGTGCACCAAGGCCAACCCGTCGTGCGGCTCGTGCCCGATCCGCGACCACTGCCTGGCGCGTGCCGAAGTGAGCTCGACCCGCGCCGCGGCGGTGAACGCGCTCGGCTTCACCCCACTTGCAACTCAACCAAAGGTCGCCAACATCCGTGCCGAATCACCGGACCCAGCTACTGTTGCGCCCAAGACTAAGCGGGCCAAGCTGCTTGACGGCTCGCCGCGCCCAAGTGCCCGCTCGCACGTGGTCATCGAGCTCGACGACGAGTCCAAGCCAGCGTGCGAGCTGTGCTTCGGATGGGAAGAGGCTGGGACACCGACGGCCTCTGTGACAAAGTACCCTCGCAAGAAAAAGAAGACCAAGGTCCGCAGCGAGATCCTCGCTGCTGCTGTCATCTATCGCCGCCGCGACGACGGCGCGCCGCTGGAGATCCTTGTCGAGCAGCGCCCGCCGACCGGCTTGCTCGCGGGCCTCTGGCAGCTCGCTGCCATCCCGCTGGACGACATCGATGCCGCCGATAACATTGCTGCCGTCGAGGCCGGACTCAACGCCAAGCTCGCCACCATGCTCAACGCGCCGGCTGCCTATGTCGAGCCCTCAACCTTTGCCCGTGCCACCGTTCCTGTCGTCCGGCACCGGTTCTCGCACATTGCGCAAACCATCGCCGTCTTTGTCGCCTGCACTGCCGCCGGCGACGACCCCGAGGCACTCCCTGCCACCACTCGATGGCTCCCACTCTCGAACGTCTCCTCTGCTGCTGTCCCCACCCGGCTGAAGAAGATCCTCAAGGCCGCCAAGTCCTCACTCCCGTCCAACCGCAAGTGATCCGCCACGTTCATCACGCACATCGCGCACATCGCGCGCATCGCGCACAACGCACACACCACGCACATTGCTGAGCCCTTCCGCTCATCGAGTCCACTGCCGCACCTGATCATGGCAGGGCGGCAAGCCATGCGCTGCCAACCCCTCCCCGAAACGCAAAGCCGACCACGTCGCACCACCGTCACCACTGGCACGGCGACGGCCAAGACCGGCACCGGCACCAGCACCACCCCTCTCTCCCCCTTCACCAACCACCATGGCATCTCACGACTGCATTGTGGCATACGAGCCGGCGACCTGCGAGTTCCCCATCCAGAACCTTCCTTATGGTGTCTTCTCCACCGCTTCGGCGACGAGCCCTCGTGTCGGTGTCGCCATTGGTGACAAGGTCCTTGACCTGGCTGCCCTCGCCGCAAAGGGCCTCTTCAACGGGCCACTTCTTGCCGACTGCGCCACCGACCTCTTCAACCAGGTATGATTCCTTCTTCTCTCTCCCCTCCTCCCCCCCCCCCCCTCTCCCCCTTTTCCCAGCTCTCTCCCGTCCCCTACCCCCACCCCCCACCCACCACCGCTACCACCAACTAATTGTTTTACTCACCCCCCACCCCCCATCCCAATAATTCAGCCCTCGCTCAATGCCTTCATGGCCACCAAGCCCGAGGTCTGGGCCGAGGCCCGCGCTCGCATCACCGAGCTTCTTACTGCTGGAGCCGGTGCCCTCGATGAGGCTACCCAGGCAGAGGTCCTCGTCGACATGGCCGACATCACCTCGCACATGCCGGTCAACGTCCCCGAGTACATCGACTTTTACTCGTCGCGGACTCACGCTACCAACGTCGGCACCGTACGTATCGCCCCTCCTCCCCCGCCCCTCCTCCCTTCTTTCCCCTCTCCGATGTCCAACTCACCTTGCTCATTCTCGCCCTGTAGCTCATTCGCGGCGCTGAGAACGCGCTCCAGCCCAACTGGACCGCCATGCCCATCGGGTACCACGTGGCGTCGACTTCGCTGACCGTCTCGCCGGCCAAGATTGTCCGCCCGTGGGTCCAGACCACCTCGCCGACCGACCCGACCGCGTTCTCGTTCAAGCCCGAGCCCGCACTCGACTTTGAGCTCGAGATGGGCGCGTTTGTCGGTGGCCCGGCCAACGCGCAGGGCGTCCCGCTCCGCATCAACGAGGCCCACGAGCGCCTCTTTGGCCTCTGCCTCTTCAACGACTGGTCCGCCCGCGCTGGCCAGAAGGCCTCGTACGTCCCGCTCGGCCCGTCCATCATCGGCAAGTCGTTCATCTCCACCATCTCGCCCTGGATCGTCCCCTTTGCCGCCCTCGAGCCGTTTGCCGTCGCTGCAGAGGTTCTTGACAAGCCGCTCGCCCCGCACCTCCGCGACGACAACCACATCGTGTACAACGTCGACCTCTCCGTCGACATCATCACCCCGGGCTCCAACGGCGAGGAACTGCCCATCACGCGCTCCAACCTTACCTACCTCACTTGGACTCACGCCCAGCAGCTGACCAACCTCGCCTCCACCGGCGCCCCCATCCTCCCGGGCACCCTCCTGGCCACCGGCACCATCTCCGGCCCCAACCGCGAGCAGAACGGCTGCATGCTTGAGATCTCCAAGCTCGGCAAGGACCCGCTCGTCCTCCCCACCGGCGAGGAGCGCAAGTACATTGCCGATGGCGACGTCGTCGTCATGCGTGGCGTCGCCCGCGGCGACGGCTACCAGATCGGCTTTGGCGAGACCCGCGACGTTGTCGAGGCTGCCCTCCCGCCCAGCTTCTGGGGCATTGAGGAGTAGCCGATCTCTGCTCTCCCTCAACCGTAACACACCGCACCACTTCGCCCCCACTCTGTTCTCTGCTTCATTCTGTCGTGAGCTACACCTCAAACAGCGGGTCGAGATCCAAGTGCTCCGACACCAGCCGCACAGACCGCATCTCCGCCGCGTTGGCCGGCAAACCACGTCATCGCCCAGCTCCTCGCGGCTCACATACGTCGTAAACGAGCCGTACTCGACTGCGCTACTGATCGTCGACACATTCAGACTCGTTGGCACGCTGCTGCGCACTGGCGAGACCGACGCCAGCCGCCGGACCGGCGACCCCGCACTCGCCACCCTCTGCTGCTGCTCCACGCTGAGCGTTCGCATCGGCGACATGACCACGCGCTCCACTCTCATTGGCGACTGGACTGTGCGCCTCTGGGTCTGCATCCGAACCGGCACCACAGGCGCCATTGGACCGACTGTCGCGGCGTGCGCAGCAGCCGGTCGGACCCACGACATCGTCGTCGTGTACCCGCTCGGCAGGTAGCTGAACGACTGCCAGCTGCCCCCGCTGGGCGCCACCGGTTGCACAACTGGCTGCACACCACGGGATGTACCCCGCCACCGCATATCTCTCGCCGAGCTGGCAGCCATCCGGCTCGACGATCTCGTTGTCGTTGTCGTCTTGGTCGTCGACTGCGAGCGAAGCTCCCAAAAGTCGACCACAGCGTTGAGCCACCACAGATGCTCGAGCAGATCGCGCATGACCCGCTCCTGCGCACGCACAAGCCCAAGCGCGTCATCCAGCGTGCCTGGCAGATCAAAGCTCAGCCCGTCGCCACTCCCGTCGTCCAGAAGCGTCGCCAGATGACCCAGCTCCATGTGTCGGACAACAGGCCGCCCGCTCTCATCAAACGCCAGCGGCTCACGCAGCTGCGTGAGAACCGGAACCACTGCACGCCACCTCGCCGCGTCCTCGGCGTTGGCCTCGGCGTCGTGCTTCTCCACGTCAGCCCGCGACGCCATCGTCGCCTTCAGCTCCAGGAAACGCAGCTCCAGCTCGCGGAACACCATCATCTCCGCATCCCGCTCCCTAACCAGCGCCTCCAAAGCATCATGCTGCTGCGATGCCTCGAGCTCCGCGCTCTGCCGCCGGTACCGCTCGTGCGCCTCGGCACGCAGCCGCGACACCTGCAGCAGTTCGCGCTCGATCGAGACCTGGTGCGCCAGGCTTGTCTCCGCATCACCGTCCTCAGAGCCAGACTCCTCCGAGCCCTCGGACCGGTTATCCGATGCGTCCGACAACACCATCGACCGACGCGTCAGCTCCCGCGTCCGTACCGCAGCCTCAGCACGCTCCTCCGCCCGAGCCACCGCCGCCGCAGACGCCGCCTCGGCCGCCTCCTGCCCAGCAGAGTACGCGTCCTCCAGCGCCACAGCATGCGATGCAACCTCCAGCCGCAGCTGCTTCTCCGCCGCCTTCACAGCCGCACGCGCCTTGTCCGCCTCGGCGCGCGCATCGTCAGCATCAAGCTCGGCCTCGCGCACTGCATGCTCAAGCTCGGCCACCTTGTGCTCCAGCCGCTGCACCTTGCGCGCCCATGCCTCCTCGTCAAAGTGAACATGGTCTGGGCTGCCTCGCTTCAGCGAGCTTGCGGCCGCCTTGCTCTCGCCAGCTCCGGCTGTCCGCAGCGCCGTCTCCTGCTCGCGCGCCCGGACAAGCTGTTTCTGTAGCGCAGCCTGGGTCGTCACCAGCGACGCCTCAACGTCGGCATTCCACGCCTTCAGCGACGCCACCATCTCCTGCGACGATGCCAGCCGTGCCTCGACACGCGCCGCCTTGGCCTCGGCAGCATCAGCAGCCCGCGCCGCCTCCGCCCGCGCCGCCTCGGACGCTGCAGCCCGAGCCTCGGCCGCCTCGGCCCGATACACCGCAGCCTCTGCGCGCGCCTGCACTGCCTCCAGCTGACCAGCGGTCTCTTCCAGAGAGCTTGCCAGCGCGCGCGCCTTCATCTCGCCCGCCTCCGCTGCCGGCTGGCTCTCACTGAACTCGCGGGCCTGCGCCTCGAGCCGCGCCGCACGCGTCTCAATGGTGGCAAGCATGCTCCTGGCCCGCGCCTTGGCCGCAGCAGCCTCCTTCTTCTCGCGCGCAGCCTCAGCACGCAATCGCACGAGCTCAGCGTCTTCCTCGGCCGCCACGCGCTCGCCTCCGCTCCCGCCGCCAGCCGCACAAAGCCTAGCCACCTCAGCCCGGAGCCGGGAGAGCTCATCAGCATCAGTGGCCGAGCCCTGCTGGTTCGCCGCTACCGACGCCTGCAGCCGTGCCACCTCAGCCTGCAGCCGTGTCACTTCGGCGTCATCGCTCCGCTGAGCCGCCACAGCCGCCGCGTGCGCGTTCTCGAGCTGAGCCTCCAGCTGAGCAACACGCTTCTCACCTGCGCTCATGCCGCGCGCATTCTCCAGCGATTCACCTTTTGAAGCGCAGAACCGAGCTCAGCATGCAGCCGCTCCACCTCGGCCCGGAGTTCGACACACTGCGCCGCGTTCGACTGCGCCTTGGTCTGGGCTTCGACCGCAGCATGCGCCTCTGTGTTCCGTGCTGCCTCAGCACGTTCGACCTGAAGCACAGCCCGCTCCAGCTGCAGCGTCTTGAGGTCCAGCTCGCGCTGGTTTCGTCACACAGCCGCGACATGTCGGCAAGCAGCGCATCACGCCGCTGGAGCTCGATCGAGCTGGCTCCTGCGTCGACGCTCGCCGCCTCGGCCGTCGCCTCCACAAGCGCCTGCTGCAGTTGGATTGACCGCTCCAAATCGGCCCGCCGACCCTCGCGTTCGGTCGCAACTGCTGCCTTGGCCTTGGCGTGCTCCGCCCGCTCTTCGGCAAGCGCGCTCTGTGCTGCGTCCAGCTCCAGCCGCAGCGAAACAAGCTCGGCAGCAGCAGCGGCCTCGCCCACCGGCGCCCGCGAGCTGGCCTCCCGAACTGCAACTTCGGTTGCAGTCTGAGCAGCCCGCGCCTCGGCCTTGGCCCGCGCCTCGGCAGCAACGCGCGCCTCTTCGGACACCGCCAGCTTCGCCTGCACTGTCGCAAGTTGCGCCTCCAAGCTGGTCTTGCCTCCGGAACCGCCAGCCTTGCCACTGCTAGCAGCCAGCGCTGCCTGCGACGCTTCCAGCTGCGCCTCGGTCGCTACCAGCTGTGTCTGTAGCACAGCAATGCGCTGCACCAGCTTCGCTGCCTCAGCAGATGCTGTCTCCTGTTCGGCACCCAACTGTCTGCCATCGCCACTCTTAGCGCTCAAAGCCGCAAACTCGGCCTCAACTTCAGCCAACCGCATGTCGTGCGCATCCTGCGCAGCCTCAAGCCGCCGCTGCTCGTCGAGGCTGACGGCGAGCCGCTTTTCCGCGTCATCAGCGCGCGCACTAGCCTCTTGCACGCGCGCAAACATTCCGCTGAGCTCTTGCTGGTGCGCAACCGCGGCGTCAAGGTGCTCGGCACGCTCGTTGGCAACATCCGCCCGCAGCTGGGCATGCTCGGTTCTCAGCACGCGCACCTCTTCGGTCACGCTCGTTGTCCGATTCACCGTCAGCATCGACGCCACCTCGCGCTCGCGCTCGGCAAGCTGCGCCAGTGCGGCCTCCTTACGAAGCCGCTCTGCGTCACGCTCTGCAGCCAGCTCCGCCTCGCGCGCCCGGCCAGCGCTCGCCTCACGCGCCCGCTCGAGCTTCTCACGCTGCACCTCGTCGCGGACACGGACGAGAACACCCCCACTGTGCGCAAGCTCTTGGCGGAGCGAGGTCACCTGCTCCGCGTACTCGGTCGAGAGTGCAGACAGATGTGCAACTTGCGCTGCAAGCTTTGCCATCGTCTCGGACGTCCTCGGTGTCATCGGCTCGCGCTTCTTGACCAGCGACAAAGGTGGCAGGGCAAGCTCGCCTGACTCGCTCGCCATGACAACTTCCATCTGCGGGTGCTGCTCTCCTTGATCGTCTCAAGCTCCGCCACGACGCGGTTGTGCGCCATCGACAGCGCATCGTAGGCAAACGCCTTTTGCTCGAGCGCCTCACGCTGAGCCACAAGCGTCACCACCGCCTGCTCCACGCCGGCGTGCTTGTTGGCGAGTGCCTCATGCGCCGCGCTCAACTCATCAAACGCTGCCGCATGCTTCCGCGACGCGTCCAGCTCGCGAAGAAGGAAAACGTTGTGCTCCTGCAGCGCCAGCAGCCGCACCTTGGCGGCCTCATAACGAGCCTGAATCGCATCCAGCCGCGCCAGTGCAGACTCGAGGGTGGTGATGTCGGTCGTCACGCTTGCGCGCAAGCTCGTCTCCACCTGAGCCTGCAGGCTCACAGCTCGCTCCATCTCGGCCTGCATCTGCGACTGGTGCTCCTGCCGCATGGCCATCGCCGTCAATGTCACCTCGCGGAGCTGCGCTTGAGTTGCCTCAAGCTCCTTGGCGAGCTGCGTCTGCTCCGGCCCGGGATCGCGCGAGACATCCATGGCGCGGTCGAGCGCAGCCTGTACACTCTCCACTCGCTTGGCCTCGGCAGTCTCAACCTCGACGTCGCTGGCAAGCTCCGCCCGCCACGCTGCCAACACCTCTGTCACAGACTGCCGCAGCGCGTCACGCTCGTGCTCCACCGTGATCCGTGCCCGCTGCGCGTCAAGTGCATCCGTCTGCGCTCGTCGGTTGCTTGCCGTCAGAACCGAGAGCTGAGCCTGAAGCTCACCCACAAGCTGGTTGAGGGCGGCGTTCTGGTTGTGCAGCGCCTCCAACGTGCCCGCCGTAGCCACCACACTCGCGTCCACCTCTTCGCCCATGGCAGTGAGCTCGGCTGCATGTGCCTGGCTCGCCCGCAGCCGCTCCTCAAACTTCACAAGCTGGGCTGTGGCTTCACGACGCGCCTGTGCCTCCGCCGCGGAAACCCGCCGCGCCAGTTCTTCTTCCAGCGCCACAGCCCGCTCCAGCTCGTCTTGCATTTGCGTCTGATGCTCCTGCCGCATGGCCAGCGCACTCAGCGTCACCGCCTGCGCCTCCTCACGCGCGGCCGCAGCGGCCGCCTCGGCCTGCTGCCGTGCCTGCCGCTCATCGGCCATGTCGCGCTCCATCATGTTGGCACGGACCTCGTCGACGGATGTCACACGCGGCAGCATCTCGGCCGACACGGGCTTAGCAAGAGCACAATCAAGTCGAGTCACAATGTCTGTCGCCTCACCACTGTCGACGCCATAGACTTCACCCAGCCGCTGGTCAATCGCCGCCACAACCCGGCCCAGCTCTTCGCGCTCGTGCTCAACCTGGATCTTGTCACGCAAAAGGCTCGCATTGGCCCGGCTAGCCTCGGCGTTGTCTTCAGCCGCATCGTGGAGCTCTGCCCGCAAGTCATCCACAAGGGTCACAAGCGCGGCGTTCTGCGCATGCAGGGCCCGCATCGTGCCTGCGGTGGCGGACACCTTAGCATTCACCGCTGCATGCATGGTCTTGAGCTCAGCTGCCTGCGCATTGGATGCACCAAGTCGCTGCTGCACCTCCCGCAGCCGACCACTCGCTTCATCAGCCCGAGACTCGGCTGAGCCTGCACGGGTCTCGAGCGCCACTGCCCGCTCGAGCTCTGCTTGCATCTGACTCTGGTGCTCTTGCCGCATCGCCAGCGCGCTCAGCGTCACCTTCTGTGTCTCCTCGCGCGCCGCCAGCGCATCCGCCTCGGCCTGCTGTCGCGCCTGCCGCTCGGCGGCCATCTCGGACTCCAGCATACCGGCACGGACCTCGTCGACACTCGTCACACGAGGCAGCGTCTCAGCCGCGACAGGCGCCACAAGCGCACGGTCCAGCCGCTCGAGCATGCTTGTCGCACGCTCGGCATCTGCCGCCTCGGCAGCCACGTCCGAGCTGAGCTCGGCACGGCGCGCGTCCTCGACTTCGCGCAGCCGCTGCTCGACACCGGCCAGCTCGCGCCGCAGATCCTCGCGCTCGTGCTCGACACTCACCATCACGCCCGCCACGCGACCGTACTCGCGCCCGATGCGCTCCGTCTCGCTCGTCGCCCGCCTCAGCTGCTCACGCAAATCGGCCACAAGCCCCACAAGCGCATCATTCTGCGCGTGCAGGGCCCGCATCGTCCCAGCGCTCGCCACAATCTGTGCATCGACCTCGTCGCCCATCGCCTTGAGCTCGGCGGCATGCGCCTGGCTCGCTCGCAGCCGCTCTTCGAGCAGTCGCAGCTGCCGCGCGGTCTCCACCTCCTTGCTCTCAGCCACCACCGCACGCTTGCTCAGCTCCGACTCGAGCGCCACCGCCCGCTCGAGCTCTGCCTGCATCTGACTCTGGTGCTCTTGCCGCATCGCCAGCGCGCTCAGCGTCACCTTCTGTGTCTCCTCGCGCGCCGCCAGCGCATCCGCCTCGGCCTGCTGTCGCGCCTGCCGCTCGGCGGCCATCTCGGACTCCAGCATACCGGCACGGACCTCGTCGACACTCGTCACACGAGGCAGTGTCTCAGCCGCCACAGGCGCCACAAGCGCACAGTCCAGCCGCTCGAGCATGCTTGTCGCACGCTCGGCATCTGCCGCCTCGGCAGCCACGTCCGAGCTGAGCTCGGCACGGCGCGCGTCCTCGACTTCGCGCAGCCGCTGCTCGACACCGGCCAGCTCGCGCCGCAGGTCCTCGCGCTCACGCTCGACAATAAGCAAATCCTTCGTCGTGCGTTTTTGCTCGCGGCTGCTGCGCTCGGCATCCGCAGCAATCTTTTGCATGTCGCTTCGTAGGTCAGTCACCAGCTTGACCAATGCATCGTTCTGCTCGTGCAGGACCCGCATTGTTCCCGCACTCGCCATAACCTGCGCATCGACCTCTTCGCCCATCGCCTTGAGAAGACTAGCATGTGCCTGGCTCGCACGCAGCCGCTCCTCAAACTGCTCCAGGTGCTGCAGCATGCTAGCGCGGTCATGCTCAGCAGCATCCCGCTTGGCCTCAAACGTTGCCCGCTGTGCTTCAGCAGTCACACGCTGCGCCTCGAGTGCTGCCACAGTCTGGCTGCTCGACGCGAACAACGCGGCCTCACGCTCGCGTGCCGACGCAAGCTCGGCCTCGAGTGCCACAGCCCGCTCCAACTCAGCCTGCATCTGCGCTTGGTGCTCCTGCCGCATCGCCAGTGCACTCACCATCGCACGCTGCGTCTCCTCCCGCGCAGCCACCACGTTGGTCTCTGCCCGCACTCGGGCCTCGCGCTCGGCAGCAACTTCGTGATGCAGCATTTCGGCACGCACCTCGCCAATACTCGTTGCTCGCGATAGAGTCTCGATCGCCGCGGGCGTCGCCACCGCACGATCCAGTTGCGCCAACAGACTTGCGGCTCGTTCGGCATCGGCAGTCTCGGCCGCGACGTCCGAGCTCAGCTCGGCCCGTCGCACCTTTTCGACTTCCCGCAGCCGCTGCTCAGTAACCGCGGCCTCGCGCAGCAGCTCCTCGCGCTCATGCTCGGTGCGAACAAGCTTCGCTGCCAAGCGCGCCTGCTCACGGGCACTCTCCTCGGCATCGGCCGCAATCGTTTGCATGCCGCTGCGCATGTCAGCCACTAGAGCCACCAGCGCCGCGTTCTGCTCATGGAGCGCCCGCATTGTCCCGGCGCTAGCAACAATCTGAGCATCGACCTCTTCGCCCATGGCCTTCAGCTCCGCGGCATGCGCCTGGCTGGCACGGACGCGCTCGTCAAAGACCTGAAGTTGCGATAGCACATTCGCGTGATCGGCCTCCATAGCCTTGACCGCCTCGGCGCCGGCATCAGCCGCTGCTACCGCTGCCGCCTCCCGCTCGAGGGCAGTAGCCAGCTCGGCTTCGAGTGTCACCGCCCGCTCCAGCTCGGTCTGCATCTGCGCCTGGTGCTCCTGTCGCATCGCCAGCGCGCGCAGCGTCACCCGCTGCACCTCACTCTGTGCAGCTTTCAGCTCCTCTTCCAGACGCCCTGACTCATCAGCCATTGCCTCCAGCTCTTCCACACGAGCCGGTGTCACAGTCGCCGCAGGCAGTGCTGCCGTCTCAGGCTGCGGGCTCGCCGCTTCCAGCACAGCAGGCGAGGCCGACAGCGCACGCTCGAGTCGAGCAAGCACACCTTCAGCTCGAGCCGCATCCTCCGTTTCGGCAGCCACGTCCGAGCTGAGCTCGGCACGGCGAGCCTCCTCGACAGCAACAAGGCGCCGCTCGATTGCCGCAGCCTCTCGACGCAGGTCGTCACGCTCGTGCTCCATTTCCAGCATCATCCGCATCAGCCGCGAGTTCTCCCGCGCACGCTGCTCCGAGTCAGCAGACATCCGTTGGAGGTCGCTGCGGAGATCGGCCACAAGTCCAACCAGCGCCGCGTTCTGCTCATGCAGCGCCCGCATCGTACCTGCACTCGCCGCAACACCAGCGTCGACTTCAGCGCCCATGCTCCGCAGCTCTGCGGCGTGGGCCTGGCTCGCCCGCAGCCGCTCTTCAAACTGCACCAGGTACTGCATTGCATCAGCCTGTTTGACCACGGCAGCCTCACGCTCAGCCTCGGCAGCCGACCGACGGGCCTCGACCGTTGCCCGCTCGGCCTCGAGCACCTTGACAGTCTCGGCACCGGCCTCCGCTGCCGCCGCTGCCGCGCCCCCGCGCTCCTTCGCAGCCGTCAGCGCGGCCTCGAGCGCCACTGCCCGCTCGAGCTCTGCTTGCATCTGACTCTGGTGCTCTTGCCGCATCGCCAGCGCGCTCAGCGTCACCTTCTGTGTCTCCTCGCGCGCCGCCAGTGCATCCGCCTCGGCCTGCTGCCGCGCCTGCCGCTCGGCGGCCATCTCGGACTCCAACATACCGGCACGGACCTCGTCGACACTCGTCACACGAGGCAGTGTCTCAGCCGCCACAGGCGCCACAAGCGCACGGTCCAACCGCTCGAGCATGCTTGTCGCACGCTCGGCATCTGCCGCCTCGGCAGCCACGTCCGAGCTGAGCTCGGCACGGCGCGCGTCCTCGACTTCGCGCAACCGCTGCTCGACACCGGCCAGCTCGCGCCGCAGATCCTCGCGCTCGTGTTCGACACTCACCATCAACTGGACCAGCCGGGCATTCTCACGACCGCGCTGTTCAAAGTCGGCAGACATGTGCTCGAGATCGTTGCGGAGATCGGCCACAAGACCAACCAGCGCCGCGTTCTGCTCGTGCAGCGCCTGCATCGTGCCTGCACTCGCCGCAACGCCGGCGTCGACTTCAGCGCCCATGCTCCGCAGCTCTGCGGCGTGGGCCTGGCTCGCCCGCAGCCGCTCCTCAAACTCGCCCAGGCGCTTGCTCGATGCCACAGCCTTGGCCAGCCGAGACTCGGCCCGATCGCGCTGCATCCGGGCCGCGTTGCGCTGCTCCTTCAGCTCCGCGCGCTCCTTTCGTGCCACGCTCAGCTCAGCCTCGACGTTTTCCAGCTCGGCCACAACCCGCGCCAGCTCGGCGCCACTGGCATCAAGCCCACTCGGTTCTGCAGCCTCTGGCTCTCGCCGGTGGTGATGCCGCCGCCGCTTCTTGCTCCGCGTCTCCTTCCCTTGCGAGCTTGCACTCTCGAGCTGTGCCTCCAGCTCGGCTATACGTTTCAGCAGATCGTCGTTTTCGCTCGCGATTCGGCCGCCGACCTGCTGCAGCTCACGGATCTGCACAACCAACGCGTGGTTGTTTTCCGACAGCGACCGGAATTTGCGGGTCTGCTCCTCCTGCTTGGCTTGCTGCACCCTCGCAACTTGCAGCTCACTCTCGAGTCGCTCGACCTGCGCCTGTAGCACCTCCTTGAGCTGCAACGCCAGCTCGCGGTTCTGCTCCTGCAGCCGCGCCAAATTCTTGCTGTGGCTCCCAGAAGACGCAGTCTCATCACGGCCGGCAAGCTCACTCTGCTGCTGGCGCGCAGCCGACAGTTCTCCCTCGAGACTCTCAACATGACCGCGCAGAAGCTGCCGCAGCTGCAGCGCCAACGCCTTGTTCTGTGCTGCAGCTGCCGCTGCCTCGGCATCCTCCCGGGCCTCGTCGCCACTCTCCGGTCGTGACCGCGGCGTTGACGCTGCCAGCTTTTGCTCCAGTGCATCGACGCGCATCAGCAGCTCATCGTTCTCGCCCACAATCCGGTCGTACACCACCTGCAGGTCGTGCAGTTGGCTGGCCAGAATCTTGTTGTGCTCAAGCAGCGTGGCCCGGTCAGGACCTTCGCCCACCTCGGGCACATCCTTGCTCTCGAGCGCATCGACGCGCATCAGCAGCTCATCGTTCTCGCCCACAATCCGGTCGTACACCACCTGCAGGTCGTGCAGTTGGCTGGCCAGAATCTTGTTGTGCTCAAGCAGCGTGGCCCGGTCAGGACCTTCGCCCACCTCGGGCACATCCTTGCTCTCGAGCGCATCGACGCGCATCAGCAGCTCATCGTTCTCGTCCACAATCCGGTCGTACACCACCTGCAGGTCGTGCAGCTGGCTGGCCAGAATCTTGTTGTGCTCAAGCAGCGTGGCCCGGTCAGGACCTTCGCCCACCTCGGGCACATCCTTGCTCTCGAGCGCATCGACGCGCATCAGCAGCTCATCGTTCTCGTCCACAATCCGGTCGTACACCACCTGCAGGTCGTGCAGCTGGCTGGCCAGAATCTTGTTGTGCTCAAGCAGCGTGGTCCGGTCAGGACCCTCGCTCGTCTCGACCTTGCTTGCCCTCTCTTCCGCAACAGGCTGCGCCATCAGCTGGCTCTGCTGCAGGCGCCATTGCATAGTCGCCAGCATGGCTTCCCGGGTCTCCTGCTGAGAGGTGGCAAGCTCGTCACGAACCCGTGCCAGCTCGCTCTGCAGTTCGGCCAGATCGTCCGATGCGACAACCGTGACAGCAGGCGCTTGTCCGTGCTCCTCAAGTGCCGCACGCCGGAGGCGGGCCGATTCGCGAGTCGCCTGCTGCAACTCCGCCACAACATGTTCGAGCTGTTCGCGCAAGTCGCGTGCCAGTTCGCTCAGCACAGCATTCTGCTTCCGGAGCGCATCCACCATCGTGCTCGACGAAGCCACCGACTCGGTTCCAAGCTCCCGAAGCCGCCCCACCCGCGCCTCAAAGCCGGCGATGAGCTCGAGCGCGTCGGCATGCTTGACCACAAGCGCATCGTACTCGGCGTCGGTATGCATGCGCTCCGCCACCGGTGTAGCAGCCTCGGCAGGAGCAGTGGCTGCACTTGTGCGACGATGATGGTGCCGCCGTTTGTGCTTCCGCTTCGACTGCGGCGCCTTGAGCACTTCGTACTCGGCCCGCAGCGCCTCGCGCTCGAGCTCGGCCTTGGACTTAGCCCGCTCCAGCGCCACAATCTTCTCGCCAAGCTCCTGGATCTGCTTGGCATCCGCACCGACAGCATCGTCATGGCCGCTTGCCCGAGCCAGCTGGATCTGGGCCTGCATTTGCAGCTGCCGCTGCAGCTCGCCGTTGCGCTCCTCGAGCCCGGTCACCTGGCCCTCGAGCTGCACGTTACGGGTCCGCACCTCGCGGAGCCGAGCCTGAACACTCTCGAGCTCGGTATCACCCGACGCTGCCAGCGTGTCATACGCGGCTTCGTTCTCGGCAAGCTTCTCGCGGATCGAGTGCAGCTCAGCCTCCATTCTTCCATGACTCTCGGCCGCCGCCGCCGCTGCTGCCGCCGCCCGCTCCCGTGTCTGTGCGAGCTCGCTTGAAAGCCGGCGGACCTCGGACTCGGCCGCGAGCGCCGCTGCTCGCGCCTCCACAACCTGGTCGACCAGTTCAGAACCAGCTATCGCGCCGGTACTGGTAGCCTCGATGGGTGCAACAGCTGCTGCCGCCTGCGCCGTGGCCGCCTGCGCCGTGGCCACCTCGCTCTGCGCCGCGGCTAGCTCGGTCGTCAGCCGCTCAATGGTCCGCACGGCAGAATCGGAGACGGCAATGAGCTGGAGCGTCTTCTCCTCTGACGCGGCACACGAAGCCCGCGCCAGCGCGAGTTGCTCACTCAGTTGGTCCACGGTGCTGCGCAGCTGCTTTTCGGTGGCCTCTGCCTCGTCACGTGCGGCCTGCGCTTCGACAAGTTCGGCTTGCAGCGACGCAACAGTCCCCATTGCGTCCGAGTAGTCGGCCTCGGCCGAAGCCTCGACCAATGCCTGCTTCCGCGACCGGTGCCCGCGGTGATGACGGCGGCGCTTCTTGCTCGCAGACTCCACAGTCTCGATTTCGACCTCACCCTCGCCTTCGCCCCTGCCTTCGCTCACTAGCTGCGGTGCCGTGACAGCTTCACGCTGCAGCGCTGCTTCGGCCGCGCGGTGCGCCACAAGCTGCTGCGTCAGTCGCACTAGCTCGTCGCGCTGGTTCTCCAGCTGCCGCAAAAGCTCCTTCTCGCGACTCACTGCCTCGTCGCGGCGCTGCTCGAGCATTTCCCGCATCCGCTGCGAGTCGTCCACCAGCGACGCCACCTGCTCGTCATGGTCGATGGCTTCGGCGCGCAGCTTCTGCACTTCGGCCGACTGCTTGGCGCTTGCTTCGCGCGCGTCTGCCAGCGTCTGCAGCACCTGGTCGAGCTGCGACTGGACCTGCTTCCGCTGCAGATCGGCGTGCGCCGCCGCGACAGCCTTGGCCTCGGCCACCGCCTCGGCCGCGGCCGCTGGGCCCTGAGTAGTTGCCTCCTCTAGCAGAGCCAGCTGGTGCTTGAGCGACTCGATCTCGGCCTGGCCGGCTGCTTCGGCTGCCTCAATCTGGCTCTTTTCGGCTTCAACGCTCGCAAGCTGCGCCGTTGCTGCGGCCTGAGCCACGCCCGAGCCTGCCACCAGTGCCGAGTGCCGCGCCTTGAGCTGGGCAAACTCGGTCTGGAGCCGGGCCACCTCGCGCTCGGCCTCGGCCGCGGCAGCGCTCGCCGCCTTGAGTTCGGCCTGACTCTGCGCTGCCTCCTGTGCAAGCGTGTAGATCTTGGCATACGCCGAGCTCAGCTGCGCCTCGACGTCCTCCTTTTCAGAGATGAGCTGCAGCGCCTGAGATTCGAGGGTGAGCTGAGCAACCCGGAACGTGGCAATCGACTTGAGCGCCGATGCCCGCGCCCGCTCCGACTCGTGAAGCTGGTTCTGAAGCTCTGTGACGTGGCTCGTTGCTGCCGCCGCCTTGGTCTCTGCGTCAGCCGTCGCCGTTTCTGCGGCGTTGGATGCATCCACTGCCTTGCTCGCCACACTCCGTGCTTCCTCGAGCTTGGCACGCAGGATCTTGAGCTCGTTCTTGGCGTCGCTCAGCGAGCTCCGCAGCTTCTTTTCCCGCCGCCGCTGCTTGGCACTTGACTTGTCCGCGTCTGCGTCTGCGACTGCGACTGCCTCGGCTGAAGCCTCAAGCTCTGCCTCGGGAGAGGCAACTGCAGCCTCCAACGGCGCCGCCTCTTCGACAGCTTCCGTTACCGGGGTGGCGACGACGGCAGACTGCACAAGCTCGAGCTCGGCCCGTGCGTCCTCGATCTGCGATCGCAGCGCCTCGAGCTCGGCCTCGGCGTCGGCAACGTCGACCCGAGTCTCGGCCAGCTTGAGCCGCATCCGCTTGAGACGCGCCTCATCCGCAGCAGAGGCTTGTTCGGTCTGGGCAGGCAACGGCTGCTCTCTGCTCGTCTGCTCAAGCACCTTTTCGGTCTCAGCAAGTCGCGCACGGAGCGCGTCACGCTCGGCCTCGAGCTTCGCCAGCTCGGCCGACTTGGACGCCAGCCGCGCCGATGCTAGCTCAGCCTCGGCCTCCTCAAGATACGACTCGACAACGCCGAGCTCGGCACGGTACTTGACAAGCGCACGGGTCTTGGCGTCCAGCTCGGTCTGCAGCGAGGCGCTCGAGCCCGGCGCCGGCGTGGCCATGGCCGCCCGGCTGAGCAGCACATCGTGCTCCTCGAGCAGAGCAGCATGCTCCGAGAAGAGCGTCCCCAGCTCAGCGGCAAGGTCGCTCTCGCGGGCGCGCAGAGCCTCGATGTTGGCCTCGAGCACGCCTTCCTTTGCCTCGGCAGCCGCTGCGAGCCGATCGCGGACCTTGAGCTCCATGGTCGCCTCTTTCAGCGCAGCATGTGCCTCCTCAAGCTGGTTTTGCGTCTCTTCGATCTCCACATTGGAGTCGGCCAGCGCCGCGTGCGACTGGCGCAACTGCTCTTCCAGCCCGACCACTTCGTCTTTGAGCAACGAGACGTCGTCCTCGAGAAGCGAGACCGCCAGCGACTGTTCGCCAAAGACCTCGACAAGCGAGGTGTGCAGGTCCGAGTCATCCGAGTCAAACTCGGCGTCAATCTTGGCAGCCATGGCCTCGAGCGCCGCCCGGTGCTTCTCAGCCTTGGCCTCGACCTGAGCGATCTGAGCCTGGGTCTCGCGCCGCAGCGTGTCGCCCATGACGTGCTGCAGCTCGTCGGCTGCTCGGAGCGCGTCAAGCTGTGCCTCGTCGTTCTGCACCTCAGACGTAAGGTTTGCCACCTCTGCCTCAAGCTCGGCAATGCGCTCGCCGAGCTCGGCCTCGCGGGTTGCCAGTGCAGTCTTGGCAAGCTCGGCCTTGGCCTGTGCGGCCTCGGCGTCGGCTGCAGCCACCATGGCCTCGGCCGACGCCGCCTCGGCCTCGGCACGGAGCGCTTCCATGGCTTCGGTCTCGGCGGCGATCGAGACGGACGTGCTCGCCGCAAGCTGCGAGCCCTGCTCGAGGACCCGGACCTGCAGCGCGTACGCGCGCTCTTCGGTCTCGGATGCCGCCTTACGCGCGCTCTCCAGCTCGCTCACGGCATCCTCGAGTTCATGCTCGAGCTCGGCAATCGTCGCCTCGTGGTCCTCGATGATGTCGCGTGACTGCAGGAGCGCAACCTCGGCTGCCTCCATGTTGGCCTTGAGCTTGTGGATGGTCTCGACCTCAGCCTCGCGCCGGGCGGCAAGGTTGGCCTCGGCATCGTCCAGTGCACCCTGTAGGGCCGCAAACTGCGGTGGGCACGCCGCATGCGCCTCAGCCACGGCCGCCAACTCCTTGTTGGTATCCTGCAGCGTCTCCTGTGCCACCTCGAGCTCAAAGGCCAGCGCCTCGCCCTGAGCTTCCGCTGACGAGAGCTGCTTCTTGAGCTTGGCCACCCGGGCCTCGAGTACGTCGCGGTGAGCTTCGAGCCGCTTCAGCTCGAGCTCTTGTGGCGGCTCGGCTTCATGAGACTCGTCGGCCGCAGTTACGGCCGCAGCCGCAGCAGCCGCAGCCGCAGCCGCAGCCGCAGCCTCGGCCTGAGCCGCAGCCAGCCTTTGCGCGGTCTTGGTCTGGTTCGCCTGCTCAGCAGCGCGCATGGCCTGCAGCCCGCGGTCGAGCACGGTTGATGCCATTCGCAGATCGCGCGAGCCCGAGCTAGCCTCGAGCTCGCGGAGGACGGCGGCGGCATCATGAAGCGGCTCGACGCTGTCGCCGTCAGTGCTCGCATCGTTGGCAAGCATTTCCAGCATGCTGGCAAGGGTGCGTGCTGCAGGGCGAAGAACAAGAGCGTCGGCCTTTTTGTGCGAGTCGAGGGTGGCGCGGGTGGCGGTGGCATCAGCCGACGCCGCCGCAAGTGCCATGCACGTGTTTTCTGCGGCGTTGCGCGAGACGGTGATAAGGTCGTCGACCGCGAGCGCGTCGGTGCTCGCGGCGCCCGTCGGCTGCTCCAGAGCAAGCAGCAGGTCGCGGGTGACGCTCGCCAACGCGGCGCGGAGCGCGTCGCGTTCGTCGGTGGGTGGGGCGGCGTCAGCAAGCACCATCTCGCGCGCGCGCTGCAGCACCGGCTCGAGCCTACGTCCGAGCGCGTCGCCAAGCGCCTCGTCCTCGGCGGCAGCGTGAAGGAGGTCCGACGCCGACGCTGGGGCGTAGATGTGCGGGTCGGCAAAGCCCGGCAGGAGCTCCGAGGCAACAACGGCTGCGTCCGAGTCCTGCCCGAGCAGTGCGTTGCAGGTGTACTGCAACGCGGCGAGGGCGTGCTTGGCGATGGTTTCGGTGCCGGCAAAGGCCGACGCATGCGCACTCTGCTCAGCAGCTACATCGCGTGACTCGAGCAGCGACGCAAGCTGCGCCTTGAGTCGTTCGTTCTCGTCGGCAACGGCCGAGTTGGCGAGACGGACGCCAACGCGAACCGACGAGAGGACCTCAAGCGACGAGCGAAGAAGCGTGTGGACCTCGGCTGTAACCTCGTCGTTGGACTCCAGGTCGAGGCCTGGCTGGACTCGCGACGCGAGATGCGGCATGGCCGACGCGACTGGGGTGAGGGCGTCGACTTCGGCTGAGAGGTTGAGCAGGTCGCGCTCAAGCCGCTTCGCGGCAGCGTGAATGCCAAAGACAAGCTCATCGTCGAGTCCGACCTGGTCAACCTCGCTCGCCTGGGCCACGCTGCTGGCGTTGGGCGAGAGCGGTTCGTGGGCTGCCCGGAGGGCGGCAAGCTCGGCGGTGGACGACTCGAGCTGGGCGGCGAGCATGGCGGCCTCGTGGGCGTGCTCTTCGGCGCGCACCTTGCTTGCAGCGAGCTCACGGGCGAGGTGCTCCTTGGCCCCGAGCGCGTCGGCGAGGGCGGAGCGGGCCGAGTCAAGCTCGGAGCGAAGCGAGGCGACCTGGTGCTCGACGACCACCATCGAGGCCTCCGCGGTCTCGTTGTGGGCGATCATGGCTGACGAGACCGAGGCGGCTGCTGTGGCCTCGGTGTTGACGCGGTCGATGGTGGCGTGCGCGGCAGCAAGTTCGGCGGAGAGCGCAGCGTTTTCGGCGGCGAGCTGCGCGGTGCGGGTCCGGGCGCGCGAGAGCGCCTCGTTAAGCTCCATAAGCTCTGCTGCCATTTCTGAGTCGCCCAGCGAGCCTGCCGAGGCTGCGAGTAGCGTTTTGACCCGGGTCTGCTGCTCGGCGAGCTGCTGGGTGGCCACCCTTTTGAGAACGGCGAGGGCGGCGCGCTCGCGCCGCTCTGCCTCGAGCTGGCGCTTGAGCTCGACAATGCGGGTGTGGGCGGCCTCGAGATCGTGCGGGAGAACCTCGTCCGAGGCCGCCGAGTCGTCGGCGAGCTCGGAGAGGCCGTCGCGTGCGCGAAGCTGCGACTGGAGAAAAGCTAGCTGCTTGCGGAGCGAGGCGGCCTCGACGTGAGCGTCGGCAAGCTCCGAGGCGAGCTCAAGCTCGCCGCGATCCAGCGAGGTCTCGACCGACGCTGACGGCATCGCGGTCGACTCGTCGGCGGGCTCGAGCGCAAATGACACGCGGTCGCCGCCGAGTAGCGACTGGTAAGCAGCGAGCTCCTTGTGTGCGGCGGCGCGGACCGAGCCGCTGAGGGCCGAGTGGTTTGCAGCGGTGCCCGGGGCGGCCTGGCGCGGCGCGGCGAGAAAACGCATGATCTGCTCGGCGGCAAAGTGGATGAGATTGTTGCGGGCCGGGACGCGAAAAGCATTGTAGTGCAGGAGGTCGAGGACGCCGACGCGGGTCGAGGTCTCAATGTGCAGGCCGTGGAGAGCCATCGAGTGTATGGCGGGCGAGCGGGCGTGGGCCACCGTGTAGTCGAGGAGCTGGACGTAGGTGTAGACAAACTTCCACGACGGCGATGGCGAGCCGAGGACAGCCTTGGAGAGGCTCTCCTGCACAACGCGGAGAGCGTCGAGCGAGGATGCGCACGCGATGGAGAGCCGGCGGATGACGAGGCTCGCTTCGCCCCATCGCTTCTTGGCGTTGAGCCCATAATGCGGCGAGTCCCAGACGTCGAGCAGCTCCTCCACACCGACGGGGCGGGCGAGGACCTTGAGCAAGCGATACTGCTGGGCGCCGAGCGAGCCTGAGGCGAGCGCGCTTCCGATCTTGGCGAGCTCTTCCGCGAACCGGACGTAGTAGAGGCAGCCCGGATGGGTAGATGCGAGCTGCGGCGCAAGCTTGCCGAGAGCCTTGGCGTGCTTGGACGCAACTTCGTCGACGAGGAAGCGGGCGGCGGTGGGTGCGACGTCGAGGACGCCCGGCGTGGCCTGGCCTGCGGCAAAGACGAGGAGAAGGTAGCGCTCGAGGAGGGCAGCGTAGTAGCTGAGCATGCCGAATGCGTCTTCCAAGGCGACGACGCCATCGTCAAGAAGAGACTCGTTGGCCTTGCTCTCGTTGACAAGCGCGACGCCATCGGCAGCGCCATTCCGCCGTGCCACCTCATCAACGCCCTCGACAAGAACGTCGAGCATGTCACCTGCAACTTCAGTGAGGAGACGACGGAGAGCGAGTTCCGAGACCAAGCACTCACTGACATTAGCCATGCTGGCCTGCAGCACAAAGCCAAGCTGTCGTCCATTATGTGCAGCATCTGCCCGAGCTGCAGTTGCAGTTGCAGCACCAGCTGCCATGCCTCGGCTCATAGTAGAGTCGGTGAGGAGGCGGCCGTGCTGGCTACCGTCAGCGCCAGCATTGCGATCATGCTCGTGATCACCACCATAGCGATCACCCGCCACTGCTTGTTCGCCGACCGAATGTAGCCAGAGCAGTTGGTATAGAGAAGATGGTGTGAGTATGAGTTGCAAGGGAGAATGTAGAACAAGTATATGTATAATTGGTTACGTACTGCTGAATGGTGGGAGTACTCCAGCTGCTTGAAGTACCTCCATGCCCCTAGCCTCACCAACGGCAGGGTCAAGTGTACGAAAGGCCGCACTGGCTTGAAGCCAAAAGCCAACGAATGACCTGCCGACATACCACGGCGTAGAGACAGAGATCTAGTACGAATGAGATCAACAAGATGGGAGGTGGTCATGGTCATGGTCATAGCCACCATCGTATATATGTGTATGACTAGATGCAGATGACGGTAGGCGGGTGGGGAGGGAGGGAGGAGGAGGGGTGATCGAAGACGGGAGAGGGTGGGAGGGGGGGGGAGGGGGAAGGGGGGAGGGGAGAGAGAGAGAGAGCAGATGACCACATCTGTGAATAAGATCAAAGGGGAAGAGGGGAGAATGACAGAGGGGGGAATGACAGAGGGATCGATGAGAGTATGGGGCTATGTACGACATGGGTTACGAACCAAGCGAAACTGGCCGTCCTGATGGCCAACAGACGATCATTGGGCGAACGAGCAACAGCAACGAAACCTGTGACCTGGAGGCAGGCCACCACCACCACCACCACCACCACCACTTCAACTGCTACTACTACAACTACTACCACCTCACTACCCCCTACCCCCTCCACCCCAACCCCTACCCCCCACACCCCACCCTCATCCTCACCCCCTTCTCCGTCGCTTGCCCTCCATGTCGGACTTGGATATCCATGCTCTGACCAAGACTCCCTACGCAGACCCTCTTACGGGCGTGGCCATTCTGGAGAAGGACTCTAACTATGATGTGCTGTGGACGTGGTACGTCATGGTGTGTGGTGGAGCAGAGATAGAGCGACAGAGATAGAGGGACAGAGAGAGAGAGAGCGGGAGGATGAGGGACGGTGACCGTGCGCGCGCTCGCTCGCGAGCAGATGGACGGACCGAGACACGAGCGCGGGGAACGTACTGGCGGATGGATGGAGGAGAGAGCGCGAGTATGCGGACGAATGGACGGATAGACGGACAGACGAGGTGGGCATGCCGTTGGGCGGATGGACAGGACAGATAGACGTCAACTGGATCAAAGGCTACAAACTGGTTCGCCACAATGGCGTGGCCTGATCTATGCCGTCCGGTCCGGCTGGCACTTGTGGATCGTCCGAGCCGTCTTGCTGCCGCTGCATGGCCTTTGCTCGCCCCATGCCGTCTACTCGTCCGTCACGCTACTTGCTCACACTGCTCTCGCTCATCGGCCGACTCATGGGCTCATCCTGGGCGTCCGCTCCACTCATTGCCAACTCACGAATCCGTGCCCACCGTGCCGTGTTTAGGATGTACCCCGGCCTCCCGGACAAGTTCAAGACTGTCCTCCGCTCTCGCTCGCAGCTGACCGAGCGCACGCCACCGAAGTTTGAGCTCTCTTCGCTTGACTCGGTCTACTGCTACTCGACGACCCGGTCGGGCGACGAGATCACGGTCGCCGCCCCTGCCCGCGAGGCTGTCGCCGCCCGCACCGCCGCCCGCGAGGCCGGCGACGACGAATTTGAGCTCGACGACGAGCTGCAGGCTGTTCTCGACGACGAAAACAGGGTCTCCGCCCTCGACAAGGTTACTGGCTTTAGCGTCGTCATCCTCGCCACCGAGTTCTTCCCAGAAAAGTACGAGGCGCTTGGCGCCGTTCTGGCCAACGTCTACGCCGCTACTGGCCTCACCTCGAACGTGCTCCAGGCCTACTTTAAGGCGCTGCTCAAGGCCAAGGTCGACGCCGGTCCGCTCGGCGCCTACATTGCCGCCGACATCGACATCCGCAACTCTTGGCTCTCCGCCTCGATCAAGGACGTTATCATCACATTTGGTGCCGACGTCGTCCTTGTCTGGGGCGCCATGCTCCTCAACAAGCGCATCCTGGTATACTCGGACACCCGCGACGCCCTCGAGCCCGTCCTCCGTGCTCTTCCGCTCTTTGTCTGGCACAAGAAGGACTGGTCGCTCCTCATCCCCTACTCCCAGTCCTCGGACGTCGAGCTCGCCGAGCTCGCCTCCAAGCCGACCTACGCCGCCGGCATCACCTCGCCAGCCCTCCTCTCCTCCGACCACCTCTACGATGTTGTTCTTAACGTCTCGGACCGCTCAGTCTCGGTCGCTCCGCACGCCTCGGCCGACCTCGCCATCGGCTCGTTTGTCAAGGACCTTGCCACCTACCTCGTCGACGCCGGCAACGATCCGGACATGACCGACGGTGACATCATCAAGGGCCTTGCCGTCAAGACCGGCGAGCTCATCAAGAAGGTCCGCTCCCTCGCCGTCGACCGCGACAGTAGCTCTCCCGCTATCACCCGCGACTCCCTCGCCGACGCCGGCATCCAAGGTGCCCTCGCCAACTTTCTCTACAACGTCGCTGCCGCCGAAGGCATCGCGCAGTAGCGCCCCCCCCCCCTCCCCCCCCCCTCCCCACCACACACACACCACACCCCTCCCCACACCCCTCCCCACACCCATCATCCCATCATCCCATCATCCCATCATCCCATCAAATCAACCCCACCGCATCAACCATCACGCCAACATGCCGGCCCCCTGCCATCCCCTGTCCTCCATCTTGGCTGTGGCACATCGCCAACATGTTAACATGCTCGCCCCTGGTAAGCCTGGAATTGGCACCACCCCACTCCGCAACACCCGCCCCCCCCCCCCCCTCACCCACCCACCCACCCACCACCACACACACACACACACACACACACACACACACACACACACACACACACACACACACACACACACACACACCATGCACAAGGGCACTACTTCATCCGCTGCCTCCAGGTCTGGCTCCCTCCCACCGCTCAACGTCAGTCTCCGACGCACCGCCTCTAGCAGCAGCCAGACTGCGGTCAAGACTGACAGCAACAAGGCCGACCAAGACCATCATCATGACCTTCATCACCATGAGCATGAACATGGCAGAGAATCGAACTCTCCTCCATCTTCGCTTCCAAGAGCAAAATCAGCCACAGAGCCATCTCCTCGTGGCCTTTCCATTGCTGCGGCTGAAGCTAGTCTCGATCTCGCCTTTTCATCAAGATCATCATCAGCAAAGCCTTCTGCAAGAGATCCAGATGCTGATGACCTTGCTGGTCATGGAACTGGAACTGCTTCGCCTCTGTCTTCTCCTCACCCCTCTGCAGCCAGTGGGCTGGACTCGAATGATGATCGTGTCATGGGTAGGGGTGCTACCAAGTCGGATCCGACCACCACTGCTCCCACCTCGCCTACCGACCCTTTCACACCTCCTCATCACATCGATCACCACCTCAATTCGGCTCCCCAGACCAAGACGGACGGGCTCTCTGTCGCCACGTCGCCGTCTCCTCTCCCAAAGTCGGCATCAGCTCATCACTCGCAAACGTCGCTCTCGCCAGACTCGTCGTCCCCAGGCGCAGTCGCTGTCGAACCAACGCTTGCCAAGGCGTCGTCTGTGGAAGGCCCAGTCGGCTTGAACTCGAACTCGCGGTCGCCCCTCGCCCGCAGAACCCCGGCATCCATGCCCTCCACCCCGCTCGCCTCGGGTGCAAGGAGCACCTCTCCGTCGGGACTGTTTGGAAGTAATCGCTCGCGTCTCGCAGCCTCGGGCTCCGACTCGGACTCGGATCTGGACTCGTCGTCGCCACTCTGCCGCCCGCGCGCAAGCACCCTCTCCAACGAGTCCAGCAACGACGCCATTCTCCGCGCCGTGATCGAAGACGCCGGCGACTCGCCGCACTCATCCGAGATTAGCAACAACGTGTCGGCCCCGGTCACTGCTGTACTCGCCACCTCGGCCAACCTCAGCCCGTCAGAGCTCCTCAATGCCACAGACCACATGATTATCCGCACCAACGAGGACATGATCGCCATCTCCCGCGTCGCACGCTCCCTTCTCGACTCGACGGACAACCAGGCTGGCTCGTCGTCATCCTCGTCGACATCTTCGGGCGGCCTCGGTGTCTCGCTTCGCCGCCCGCTCGACATTGCCAAGCTCCGCAAGGAGGCGGGTCTGCACTCGGTCTCAGACTCAAACCCGGTTGTCCTTCCGGCTTCCGAGTCTGCTGCCCGCTCCGCCATGCCTCTCGCTCCGCACGAGTCGACAGACGTCTTTGCCGCTGCTTCAGAGGCCTCGGCTAGCAACTCGGGCAAAGACTCGTCATCTGCCGTCTCCTCCATCGGCAACACCGGCCACTTTGTTGGTGAGGCCATCCAAGACATCGCCACCGGCTCCGTCCGTGAAGACGTCGCTCCCGACGATGGTGGCTGGTTTGGAGCAGAGGTCGGCCCTGGCCACGTCATGACCGCCTCCCAGGCGGCCACCCGCGCACGCGCACGCTCACGCACACGCTCACGCTCACGCGCCTCCTCTCGTCGCCCCACCCACTCGCGGACCCAATCTGCTACCTCATCGCCGTCCAAGTATCGCGCGCCTCGCGTCTCCACCGACGACGAGCTTACCGAGATGGGCAACTCGCAAAAGTCTGCTGGCTCTGCTTCCATTGCCCCGGTCTCGTCAACTTCGAGCTCGTCCACCTCGGCCGGCTCGGTCGACAACTCGCACCCTATCCGCATCGTCGCCATTCCGTCGTCGCCAGCCACTGCCATCATGTCCACCCGCGCCCGCGCCGCAACTCTACTCATGCGCGACGCTCATCCCGGAACCTCGTTCTCGTCCGATACCCACGACCTCAACACCTCGCCAACCGCATACTCGGGTACCGTAACCAGCACCACAACCACGACCGTCACAAGCGAGACCCATCACCAGAAGCACAAGAAGCGGAAGAAGAAGAAGAAGAAGAAGAAGCGCGTTCGCCGCTCATCCTCCTTCGAAGTGCACGGCAACGAGCGCTCCACCTACTCGTCCCGCCGCCACTCGCCGGTCTCGTCGTCGTCGGCCTCGTCGTCCTCTTCCTCCGCTGGCTCCTCGCCTTCCTCGTCGCACACGGCCTCAGCCGCTGACAACTCGTCGGAACAACACCCTGACGTCATCCGTGCCAGTCGCGACGTCCGTCGCTCCTCCGCTGCACGTTCGCCCTTCCACAACGCCGGTGACTCGGGTCCCGTGTCGACGTCGTCACGCTTGCGGCACTCACATCAACGCAACCGGAATCGGGCCCGCGCCAGAACCGTCGCAAGTCCTCAGGCATGCATCGGTCGCAGTCGATGGAGTACTCATCGTCTATCATTCGCTCGCCCCGCGTCTCAGACTCTCACTCGGGCACCATGTCGTCTGCAGATGCCATTCCCGAAGTCGACGAGCACTCGCACTCACGCTCACGCTCCCGATCGGCCTCGCCCTCCTCGCCCTCGGCTTCGTCTCTCTCGACCTCCCGATCGCCCTCGCCGTCGTCGTCCGGCTCCGTGGAAACACCAAACACCGCACGCCCGCCACCGCACGCCTCGGACTCGTCGTCCAACTCGTCGTCCCGCTCGCCACGTTGCTCCTCCTCATCATCATCATCGTCATCGTCCGTCTCGCTCTCGGTCTCGCTCGCTCCCTGGGCAGAGACCAATAAGATGCCTGTCGTCCGCAACGGTCTCGAGCAACGCCGCCGCGCCTCCATGACCGCCGCCGCCCTCGGCGCACACCGCCGCCGCTCGCTGGACATGACCAACGCACCTGCCATCAAGTCCCCCTTTCGCCAAGGCAACGGTCGCTCATCCTCCTCTCGCACCATCTCGCAGCGCATCGCCGTCCGCAACGCCAAGCGCGCAGGCCTCCCGCCGCGCAGCGGCAAGTCGTCCACGCCCAAAAACAAGGACTCGCGCAACCACTTGTCGCTCGCCTCCGGCTCCACTTCTCGTCTGTCCCACCACATCTCGGGTCACCGCAACTCGTCCCCCTTTGCTCGCCGCTCCAAGATCAAGCGCTCGCGCTCGCAGGGTCCGTCCAAGCTCTTTGCCTCGTCCTCGCGCTCGCGCCACCGCTCGCCCTCGCCGGAATCGTCGTCTTCGTCCTCGCTGCTCACTCCGGTCACGCCTTTTATCCCCGACCTTGCCCAGCGCCGCGAAGCCCGTGCCCCATCGCACTTTGCCACTGCGCCTACCAATGACCAGGGCTTTGTCTCCTTCTCCGAGTCGGTCATGGACGACTCGAGTGTCCTCCCCACTATGACCAACTCGGGCTCGCGCTCCTCACTGGCGGACACCTCGGTCTCCAACGCTACTACCCATGGCCGCTCGTCGTCGCGGACGCCTGCCCAGATGGTCGGCCTCACCTCGTCACGCGGTGTCGAAGCCGTCGACGAGCCCAAGTCGCCCACTCGCCAACGTAGGCTTGCCCCGCTCCCGCTCCCACAACCGCTCCGAGACGTCATCGCCCTGCCCAAGTCAGCGTCTGAGCCCTTGAGCCTCGACAGCAGCGCCGCCCCTTCGTCTCCAACTACTATCACCATCACCCAAGACCCGCTCACGGCCTCGTCATCATCAGCGGTCTCCGGCACCCACTCTGATTCGTGCGACGATGAGTGTGCAGCCTCGCGCGCCGCCTTTCAGCATGACCTTGGTCAAGGCAAGCGCCCGTCCGCCGCCGGGCCCGGGCGCGGGGCAAGCGGCCTAACTACGCCCGCCACCAACTGGCCTCCCATTCCAAGTCGTCGTCGGCCTCGTCCGGAAGCAGTTCACACTGCTCAGACCGCGGGCTCTCTCACGAGCGCCACTCGGGCCTCCGCATCTCTGTCAACTCCAAAGTCAAGTCCAGGGCTCGAGCTGTCTCACGTGGCCCGATCTCGCGCGAAACAAAGGGCCACGCTCCGAAGCCCCCGGGCGGCCACCTCGACGTCTCAGATGACCGTCCGCGCTCCCGGTCGGTCACCGCCCAGACCTCGGGCTCCAGTACCCGCAACGCTTCAGCCTCGCCCGAGGATCGCTTTGGCCGACGCGCTGATGGAAAACGTGTACTCTCCGACGAGGGCCCTGGCGATGCAGATCTTGTGGTCCGCGCCATAGCCGCCGCTCCACGTAACGCCGCAAGCATCAGCTTCTCGCTCGCAGGCCGCAGTCGACCCAAAATATCGCCACGTGCTGACAACGAACGCACCGTCCGCCAGCAGCCGCGGACCGAGAACGAACTTCCTCTGGAGCTCATTGATGTCCTCCTTGATGAGATCTCGTCAGACTCTTTCTCCAACTCGTCGTCGTTCTCGCCCAAAGGCGCCTCGGTCGATATATGGGACGCCATCCGGCCGCGGGGTATCGCCTCGTCCACGCACTCGCTTGTCGTCTCCTCGTCTGGCCCAGATAGCGGCTCGGCATCAGACATCTCCTCAGTCTCGTCGTCGCCGCGCTTGCACCCGAATCTACGCAACAGTCTCCGCGCCGCACACGCCGCCAACTCGTCGCCAATGCTTTCCCAGCGGCAGCTCAGCATTTCGCCGCCCACCATCCGTACAAGAGGCAAAGGTGAGTCGGCAAAACAAGCAGCCCCGACGCTCCGCTCCACCCGACACACCACTGTCATGCGTACCCAGGGCGGCAGCTCGTCGTCCTCGTCGTCGTCGTCATCATCGTCGTATGGCTCAGCGTCGTCGTCGTCGTCGTGCATCGGCAAGTCGCCGGCGTCGTACTCGGTGACGCCAACTACGCCTGACATTGCGCCGCGGAGCCAGCACACCGCAACAGCGCCTGCCCCACTCGACAAGCTCGTCACCGAGTCGCTCCGCTCGCTGCGAAAGGGCGCCCAGCCGCACGCCGACGCAGTCGAGGCCTTTGCCTCGTTTGTCAACAAGTCCAACAACGGCTCGCCCGTCACCTACACGCCCGCCGCATCGACGCCGCCGGTTTCTCACGCCAACGCCCACGCCCGCGCCCACGCCCATGCCCAGCAGCCGCAAGCACACATGCAGCAAGTGCACCGCGAGTCGCCCCCGAACCGACCTGCCTCGACCCCGGCCAAATCGCATGCGTCGCGTGGCTCCCCGCGAACAGCCCCGAGTCAGGCAAAGCCCCCGTCGCCTCGCCGGCGGACTGTGTCGCCTGCAGCCGCCTCCTACACTGTACCCGAAGCAGTGCCTCGCCCCGCCTCTGCCGCCACAGCTGAAGCTGTGCGTATCGAGGCCATGCTACAAGCGCAACGCGAGGAGATGGCGTACAACCAAGGCGTGCTCGACGCGCAGCGCGCTATGATGACCAGCATGGGTACAAGCATGGGTATGGCCATGAGCATGGGCGTGGGTTCAGTGACACGATCGCCGATGGGTGCTGCCTCAACCGGCAGCTCGCCGTTGTCGCAGTCGGCTGCACAGTCGCCCACTAGTACTGGCTCACGCCCGTCCTCGGCCGTGCGCATGTCGCCGCGCCGGGTCACCGATACCCCGCCGTCGCTCAACTCATCGCTCTACTACAAGCCGATGCCGTCGGCGCTTGGCTCGCCGCTCATCACGCCGCTCACCCCCGCACCGCTGCAACTCTCGCCGTCACCCGCAGCAGGTTCCCGGCCGCTTGCCCACCTGGCAGTGTCGGCACCGGTGCACGCGCTCGACCATCTGCGCATGCCCTCTGGCAAGCTGCCTCCGCGTGCCTCCTCGTTTGACGATGAGCACCTACGAGTCTTTGTTGGTTCACATTCGACATCGTCGTCGCCGTTGCCAGAGCCGTCACCGGAGCTACAGCCGGGCGCCCCAGGCCCAGCACCGACTCAGGGTACAACCCAGACTCTGAATCCTGCACTTGGCGCTGCTACTAATGCCCCGGCCCCGAGCCCAGCTCCTGCACCGGCCCCGCCCCAAGCCCAGCCCCTGCGCCGATCCCCGCCTCAAGCCCGCAAGTTACCATCCCGCCGGCCTCTGCCGTCTACGACGCTTACTCGGCCCGGGTAGAGATGGCACGGCTGGCAGCGCAACGAGCAGAGCTCGAAGCCCGCCACGCCGCCATCGTCCAGGCCCACCAGGACGAGATGTCGCGGCTAGTCCTCGAGCGCTCTCGGGTTCAGGCTCACGTCCGCCTCACCCAGCAGCAGAACATGTACCGCCACTACTAGCTACTACTACTAGCCACCGCTACAGGACACCAGTACTGGCTTTTGATGGTACACTCGTTCGCAACTGTGCGCGCGAGCCTCAACATGAACAGTACAGTCCAAGAGATGGGGGAGGGGGGGGGGGGGGGGGGGGGGCTCTCGATATCGAGGCGATGGGCATGCCGCGCTCCCGAGTGCCCCTGGTCCAACACCCTCCGGACGCAAGGTCAGGTAGATGCAGCGGCTTAGGTGAAAAAGTCCTCGCTGGTAGCACTGGTGCAGATGTCCGTATGCGACGACTCGGTCGTCCGCGTGCGACGGCGGCCCCGGCGGTGAGCTCCGCGTCGGATGGCGGGGGAGCCGGGGGTGGACGTGAGGGGTGCAGTCGATTCTGTGGTCATCGGGCCGCTCTGTCGCGAGATGCGCTTGTTTGACGTCCTCTTCCGTCGCGGTCTGGAGCCTGCCAAGGGGCTGGCGGAGGGGATCGAGACCGAGACCGAGCGCGTGGCCTGGCGCGACGGCGGCACCTTCATCGACTCGACATGCCGCATGTTGCGGAAGTTGTTGAGGTTCCTGAGACCGCCTATCTCTCGCGGCGAGACCGCTGACTGAGAGTGGCGCATGGTCTTGAGTGAGGCCTTGGTCCGTGCGGCGGCTGGCAATGCCAGCCGCGCCGCAGAGACAACGCCCACATCAACAAGCTCGTCATCGTCGCTCGACACCGCCAGGCCGCCGTCGAGCTCAAACCGGACAACCGGGGTGACTTCTGTGGTGGAAGTGACCGTGTTGCCGCGACACGAGGTGCGGGTAGATGACGTGGACGACGATGACGACAACGTTGTGGAAGCCGATGCCGACGACGAGGGCGGATCAAAGACCTCGACGACGGTAGTGAAGGTGTTCGAGGCGTTGCTGGTGGTGGCCGAGGCCAGAACCGACGGGTCGTCCTTGGTGGGCCCGACACGCGCGCGAGCCTTGCGCCGGAGCGTGTAGAAAAAGGCGCCAAGGAGGATGACGGCCATGGCAAATATGCCCATCAGCGAGTACGAGACGGGCGGACGGAGCGACGGCTTCTCGCTGATGAGGTAGGACGAGACCTGGATGGCCGAGGCGAGAACGAGAAAGGCGACAACAAGAGCCTCGCGCCAGCGTTGGCGGAACGGGTGCCAGATGATGATGGCGGCGAGGTAGATGACGGAGGCACCGAGCGAGACGCCGAGCTGGGCCAGGTTGTGCTTCTGGGCGAAGACTGAGGTGGAGGCGAGCGAGAGGAGAAAGAGGTAGTGCAGGGCGCCGCCCCACCAGACGACGTAGGCCTCGAAGAACTGGCCGTAGCGGATGACAAAGTCGGTTCGGGTCCACGAGGCCTTGACTAGTGCCGATGTGGCAGGCAGGTACGCGGCGTCCAAGGCCGACGAGAACCTACCGAGCCAGACAAAGACGGCGACGACGCCGACAAGTGTGTGGACGAGCATGATGACGAGCGAGACGAGGAAGATCGGCATGTGGTCGGCGGACCAGCAGACGAGCTCCGGCTCGGCTACCAGCCGCCACACGCCCTCGTTGTCGGCGGTGCAAAAGACGCCGGCAAACGACGACGAGGCCGCCACGAGGTAGAGAAGCGAGAAGAGAATGGTGGCGGCCCGGAAGATGCGATGCTTGTAAAACTCGGCCAGGCCGGTAAAGCCCCACATCGCGAGCGCGAGTCGGAGAGCGAGAATGGCGACTAGCATGGCAACCATGGTTCCGTATCCGATCGAGACTGAGGCCCAAAAGCGGACCACAAACGACGACGCGATGGAGCAGCCGGGCTGGAGGAACGACTCGGCGTCCATGGCCGAGAGCGCCAGGAGCCGGTAGACGGTAGCCAGCGGTTCAGCGGTCGCCACCGATGCCACCTGCTGTGAGCCGCGGACAAACTGCGCTACTTCGAGGACAGACACCGCCACGCCGAGGTGCTTGTCCGAGAGAGTGAGCATGGCGAGGAGGACGAGCGAGTAGAAAATGACGTTGGCCATGATGAGCGCCACCAAGACGGCCTTCGACGGCGGGCAGGAGACGCAGAGTGTGCCGTCGCGGTAGTGCTCCGGCGCGCACTGCGCACACTCCCGCCCGGCGTACTCGGGCCCGCAGCTGGACTGCCGCCCGCCGGCACACCTCTCCGACGGCGGCTTGCACTCGATAACGTAGCCTGCGCCCTCGTCAGGCGTCCAGAAGCCCGGCTGTGGCCAGACGCGGTTGCCGCCGGGGCAGATGCCGCCCGCTGGGCATGGCCGGCACGACGCACCCACGCCGAACCACCCAGGCTCGGGGCAGTCGTCGGTATAGAAGACGTCCGTCACGCCCTTGCCGCCTGTCGGGTGCACCATCTCCAGCGCCACGTACTCGGCTACCGGATGTGGCGGCGCCAGAAAGGTCAGCTGCTGCCCATCGTCCGAGACGTTGACCGCCAGTGTGGGCGAAGTGGCTGTCGCCAGCACAGCAGTGAGACCAGCGTCAAAGCCTGTGCCGGTGAGGGTAAAGACGACACCGCCCGCCAGTGGCGAGAGCGACGGTGCTGCCGATACCACTCGGGGCGTAATGACCTTGGGAGCTACAGTAGGCGGTGATGGTGGTGGCGGCGACGGTGGTGGTGATGGTGGTGGCGGCGGTGACGGTGGCGGCGGCGGAGATGGCGGCGGAGAGGGGGGTGGCGGCGATGGCGATGGAGGGGGTGGGGGAGGCGGGGACGGTGGTGGTAGCGGCGGCGGCGAGGGCGGCGGCGGTGGGGAAGGTGGTGGAGAAGGAGGCGGAGGAGGGGAGGGTGGTGGTGGTGGGGACGGGATCGCTGGTGGCGGCGAGGGCGGTGGCGGCGGCGATGGTGGTGGCGGCGGCGGCGAGGGCGGTGGCGGCGGAGAAGGAGAGGGCGGCGGCGGCGGAGAAGGTGGCGGCGGCGGGGAAGGCGATGGCGGCGGAGACGGCGGCGGCGGAGACGGCGGCGGCGGCGGAGACGGCGGCGGCGGTGGAGAGGGCGGCGGCGGCGGGGAGGGTGGTGGCGGTGGACAAAAGAGGCGGCGGCGGCGGCGACGGAGAGGGTGAAAAGTGGCGGAGAGGGTGGTGGCGGTGGGCTCGGCGGCGGCGGTGGAGAGGGTGGCGGCGGCGGAGAGGGCGGTGGCGGCGGAGAGGGTGGCGGTGGCGGAGAGGGCGGTGGCGGTGGGCTCGGCGGCGGCGGTGGAGAGGGTGGCGGCGGTGGAGAGGGTGGCGGTGGCGGAGAGGGCGGCGGTGGCGGACTCGGTGGCGGTGGGTTGGGTGGTGGAGGCGGCGCCGGGGGAAGGATGTTGTCGTAGTTGAAGACAAAGCCATCGGAGCTGCCGCCCGAGTCCGAGACAAAGTCAATGGTCGCCGTGCTGCCTGTCGTTTCAAAGACAAAGGGGACCGAGGAGGAGATAGTGGTTACCTGCGGGACCGAGTTGAGCCGCTCGCCGTCCTTGATGCTGCAGTAGTCACCCCCGCCGAGGTCGTGGATGGTGTAGGTGATGCGGATGGTGCCCGAGGCGGCGACAAGCGTCCAGGAGCAGAGCAGATTAAGGGCGTAGTTGGCCGAGGTGATAGGGTCGGGCATTGAGATCGTGCCTGACCCGCCAGGCGGGACGGTGATTCGTTGGTGGCCAACGCAGTTGGGCCCGTCTGGAGGCGGCGCGGGCGGGGCAGGCGAGGCAGGGACCAGCGACCATGAGCCGGTAAAGCCTGCAAACTGGCCAAAGTCATCAGCGTCAAAAACAATGTAAAGGTACGGTCCAGAGAGCGAGCGAATGGTCTCCCCGAGTGAGTGCCCGACCAGGCGGTGACGAGCGGCGATTTGTCGTCCGGCCCATCATAAAAGTAGACGTAGTCAGTGTCGTCCAAGGTGACAAAGGTAGAGAAGGTGATCGAGACGAGCTTGGTGGCATCGACCGAGGTGAGGTGCCAGGCGCAGTGCGAGTACGGTGCGTAGTTGCCGGTGTACGGCGTGTGCGACTCGATGGAGACTCCAGTCGAGGTGACAGTGGTGAGGCCGGCGCAGGCCGGCGTGGGCGCTGCGGCGCCAGCGCCTGAGCTCCAGGATACTTGGAACCCGAGGTCAAAGGTCTCGTAGTCGGACATGAAATAGAGGGTTACCGAAGCTTGCGAGGCCTTGACACTCGCTGGTGGCGGCGTTGCTGACCACGCGCCGATCATGTCGGACTGGATGGTCGGTCCGTCAAAGACGCGTAGCAGGTCAAAGTCGGCCTCAATGGAGAATAAAGGGAACGAGAGCTCGACAGCGCCGCTGGGGACAGTGAGTGTGACGATGCACTCGAGAAACGGCGGATAGTACTCGTGGCCGACCGCAGGAACGCCGATGGTTCCACTGGCGGCGGTGATCTCGGTCCCGCAGTGGCGGAATGGGCCGAGTGTCGTTGTTGCGGCCGAGCTGACCACGACGTAGTCAAAGTCGACGCCGGCGCCAAAGGTCCCCGAGTCGGCATACAGGCCGACATACATCGACGGGCCCGAACTAACAAACACAGTTGTCGACGGCGTAGTGCCGGAGAGCATGCCGATGACCGGTGCGGCCGCGTTGTCGCCATCGTAGATCATGATGTAGTCAAAGAGGGACTCGAGGTCGAACGAGTTGATGGTGAGCTGAATCTTGTCCGTCGCACCTGCAGTGGATGGTTGGACACGCCAGAAACAACGAGACTCGGCCGCATACGTGCCCTGTTAGATGGTGAGTGAGAAGATGAGAATGGAGGGAGGGAATAAAAAAACGGCATCAAACCACGTGGATGCGCTCGATCGATGAGCCAAATCGCTTCGACTGGAGCTTGCTGTGGCAGGGGCGATATGGCGCAAAGCAATGGCGAGTGGAATGCGCCAGGGAGGTCGATACAGAACGCGAGGTCGAGTCAACAACGACGGCGTGCTGTGTGCGGAACGCGCCGTGTGCAAAAAAAAAAAAACCACCAACGGCCACGCATCGTCTGGCGAGCAAGACAGAGAGCCCAGAACTCGGAAATATTTTGATATTCCCGCCATCACTCTTTGCCACCACCATATATCCCCCCCCCCCACCCCTCACCGATGTTATATGACTTTGGTGGTGTGTGGAACACGAGCACCTGGCACCAGCAAATTCCTTGATGGTTTCGCACCGGCAAAGAAGACAAAAAAAAGCCTTTCGTCCACCAAACGAATGGTTCATCCGCTCGGAACCGACACCGAGTCGCGAGGGACGGCCATGGCTTGGACACGCTACGGTGTGGGATAGCCATTGTCAGAGTCTAAAAAAAGGTATCATCGAGGAATATCGGCATGGTATATACCTCATAGGGTAGTTTGAAGGGGGTGTAACAGGTATACCGAGCGTAGGAGGACAGGGGGTGGGGGCTGCGGGTGGGGCGGGGAGAAAGGCTGTTGTTCGACGCATCGACCGGACAGCAAGCACGTACAAAAGCAATGGTACCTGTGGCTGTTGTGAGGACGTTGTCTGTGTATGGTGTGCATGAGAAGGAAGCAGAGCCTGCCCACACATGTTGCTGGAGGGTGGTTACGAGAAAGAAGAACACCAGAAGGTATTCTGCTTGTTTCCCCATGGTTTGGGCGGTGGAAGGGGGGGGGGGGGGGGGGGGGG